ACCTGACAGATATTTGACTTTGAGGTTCAAATCAATTGCACCTCAAGTACAGACCAATTCAAACTATATACACCCAAATATGATAAATATTAATGTATATTACCATCAAAACTTTGGAAGGCTTTGTCTACTAAACGTACACACCATTTGTACCTCAAGTATAGATTATTGTAATGTTCATATTGGAACTAATAAACAGGATGTCTATTACCAACAACAATTTTGACAGGTTTTTACTACATGACGTACAAATCAACTGAATCTCAGTAACAGACCAACTACATTTACATAAACCTCAACCCAAGGAACATTTATGTGTATTAGAATCAAAACATTCGGCAGGATTTGTCTACTCAACGTACACATTAACTGTTCCTCAAGTACAAACCGGTTGAATCTACATACAACCAACCTTAATGAATTCTTATATGTGTCACCATTAAAACTGTCTTAAGAATTTGTCTACTTGAAGTTCACATCAACTGTGCCTCAAGTGCAGACCAATTTAATCTACATACACCCAACTCTGATGAATATTAATGTATATTACCATCAAAACTTTGGACATGTTTTGTTTACTCGATTCACACATCAACTGTACCTCAAGTACAGACCAATTCAATCTTCATACACTTAACTATGATGCATATCAATGTATATTTCCATCAAAACTTTGGACAGGCTTTGTCTACATGTGGTAAACATCATGTGCACGTCAAGTACAAACCAATTCAATTTTCATACACTCGAACTTATGAACAGGAATGATTATTAACAACAACAATCATGACAGTTTTTCTACTCGACGTCAGATCAACTGAATCTCAAGTACATACCAATTAAACTTGCATAAATCAAAGCCTGGGGAACATTAATGTATATAACAATCAAAACACCCGACAGGCTTTGTCTACTTGAGGTATACATCAACTAAACCTGGAGTACATTCCGATTGGATCTACACACAACCAACCCTAATGTATACTAATGTATGTTACCATTAAAACTTTTAGTAATGAGTTGTCTACTCGATTTACACATAAACTGTACCTCAAATACAGACTATTTGAATCAGCATACAGCCAACCCTGATGAATATTGATGTGTATTTTATTATCAAAACTTTCGACAGGCTTTGTCTTTTTGAGGACATATCAATTGTATCTCATGTGCAGACCAAATCAATTTACTTACACCCAACTCTGATGAATATTGACGTGTAATATCATCAAAACTTCGAAAGTCTTTGTCTACTTGAGGTACACATCAACTGTATCTCAAGTGCAGACCAATTTAATCTACATGCATCTAAATATAATAAATATTCTTGTTAATTACCATCAAAACTTTGAACAGCCTTTGTCTACATGAAATACACCTCATTTGTACAGACCAATTCAATTATCATACACTCAAACCTAATGTTAAGGAATGTCTATAAACAACAACAATTTTGACAGTTTTTTTTCTACTTGACGACAAATCAACTGAATCTCAAGTACAGACTATGAAGGTTTACATGAATCAAAAGCCTAAGGAACATTAATGTGTATTACAATCAAATCATTCCGCAGGCTTAGTCTACTTGACGTACATATCAACTGTACCTCAAGTACAGACCGATTGAATCTAAATACAACCAACCATAAAGAATACTAACATAACTAATGTGTATTACCTTTAAAAATTTCGATTGATTGATTGATTGATTGTTGTTTGCTTAACGTCCAGTGACAAATATTTCATGCATGTTCAGGACGATAAAACTTTCGAAAGGATTTGTCTACTTCAGGTACACATCAACTGTGCATCAAGTGCAGAAAAATTCAATCTACGTACATCAAACTCTGATGAATAATGATGAGTATTATCATCACAACTTAATTTGGACAGCCTTTGTTTTCTTGAGGTACACATCAACTCTACCTCAAGACTTGAAGTGCAGACCAATTCAACCTACATACACCCAGATATAATAAATTTAAATGTATTTCCATCAATAGTTTGGAAGGCTTTGTCTACATGAGGTGCACATTATTTGTACCTCAAGTACAGACCAATTCAATTTTCATACAGACTTTAAATCCGATGCCTCGTGTAGAGAGTACTACGCTCACTGCACGTTAAGAACCATTGTAACAGCTCTTTGAAGGGTCCGGAGGTGGCCTGTTGCAAGGCAAACTTTCTGACCATATCCAATTAACCTTCATTTTCCATTTGCAGTCCAAATTTCCTCGAACTTTATCCTAGACGGTATAAATTACAGCTAGGACCTTCCTAATGCATATGTTTGTTTATTTATTCTCCCCTTGTAGATGCATGAAATATTTGCAACCGGCCGTTAAGCAATCAACTTATTAACGATAATAAAGGAGGTGATAAACTAAGAATCTACAGACTGTTTAAAAAAAATAAAAAATATATTTCAACTTTATTGCATATAACCATAGAAGTGTAATACCAAAACTTTACTATTTAATTTATGAAATATGATTATCATTAACATTCGCTTAGACCATATTGAAACCATATATAGAGATCTGCCTCTTCCATTTATCGCTGTACGTGGGCTCTTTTGTGTTGGTCTTATTTCATCTTATTTTTTGGTACTTGTTTAATACATATACATGTACATCTGTAGGGAAATCCAAATTGGCATCAGTTTTACACTCATGGATTTGTGTAACGTAGTAGCATATTAATTTTGTGTTTTTATTTTTTGGAGGTCAAACGAACCCGATGACTTCCGTACACTATATACAGAATTAATGGCAAATCATCGGCACAGACCTGTCTAATGTATAGTCAAGCTATATTTTTATTTATTGTGGTCTATTAGACAGATATTGGTAAATTTAGTTTTTCACAAGGGCAAATAAATACACATTTAAGATTTGATTATTAAAATCTTATACAAATACAGCAAATATGACATGTTGACATGTTGCCACACATTAAAAAAAATGTTTTTAAAAATTGCTTTACACCTTTTGGGAAAATGTTGTGTACGCGTTTTTCCAAGGGTAACTAATCTAGATGAACGACCATTCTTGCACCTGAACAAAGGAAACGTATGGTAAACCGTCAACCAAAAGATACGAACAATAAAGACATTGAACACTGTCATCCTGAAGAATTTCCCGTACGAAATAAGTAGTAGGATTCCACCTAGAATCTAGTAGGAATGTAGTAGGAATCTACCTAGAATCAAATATTCTATTTAGAAAGTAGTCGGACAAGGAAAATGAACAAAATTCTGACTGGATTTTTTATTTTCTCACTCTCAAAATCCTACCATCTAGCTGGAATTTTAAAAGTCTGTATGGATTTTGTTCTGTTTTGAAAATCTTAAGTGGGAATTTGGACAGAAAATATGATTAGATTATTCATTTTCCTACTACAAGATTCCTACCAGAACTAATTTATTCCTATTAGAAAATCTTTCTACATGGAATCTTTTTAATTATCTTAAACTGGATTCCTGTTTGCTAATGACACAAATTTTGCTGTGTTAAATGCAACCAAGTTCCAGTTCAGAAATTCAAAGGTTGGAGGGTAGAAGAATGAAAAGTTGTGTTGGAACACAATGCTGCAAGAGTCAAACAACTACAATATTGAAATATGAGAAAATATGGCTCATGTAGATTGAAGGTAATTTTTATACTTTTAAGATGAAATTTTTTATCTGTTGGCCAATATATTTAGTAATCAGTTAATTCAACAATAGTGCATAATTTTACTCATTATTTGTTCATAACTCTTTAATTTCAACTTATCAACATTTTTGCCCATCTACATATAAAACACAATTTCTAGCTTGAATATATCACAGCTTCCTCATGTACATTTCAAAAGTCAACTTTTTTTAAATGAATATATTCCATGCATTTCCTTTGTTCTTTGTTGTTGAGATTCAAACTTAAATGATTGACCCAGTTGTGTATTCGTGAATATACACTTACATTTTGTATATTTTTAGATTCCTACTAGAAAATATTTTTTTCTATGTGGAATTTTGAAAAATTCCTACCAGGTTTTCTAGTAGGAATTTTATTTTCCCGCCAAATTATTCCTGCTAATTTAAATATTCCTGGTAGGAATATACAATATTCCTACTAAGAAATTCCTGCTAATATAAATTTTTCGGCTATTTTCTGTGTGGATTCCTACTACTGTCTGACTAGAATATCACTCTTTTCTGATAGGAATTCAATGCAATATTCCTACTATATTCCGTGTACATTCTGTGTGGAATATTTCATACAGGATACTATACTGGTATACAGGACACCAACGCCATTGTGTCTTGCATGATGACCCATACCTTGCACATCTTAAAATTCTTAATTATGTTTTATATAGTATTGTCTAATTGGAGAATTGTCTGTACAAAATACCGTCAGACATAGTGAAAAAAATGAAAGGATATGCGGGGCACATCACAGGAACTCGCAATTATTTACTTAAATGTGTTTGTGCATTCGATATTTCATTTCCATAAATTATTTTATATATAACACAAAATACTTATGGCTATTTCTTATTTATATATAAATGAGATTGAAAAACAATCAATTATTGCAAAACTAACAGATGTATTACCTTTATTTGTCATGTACCTTATCTTTGGTCAATTTATAACACTGATTTCGTTGAAATATTTTTTAGAATTTGTAAAATTGTTCAAAACAAACAAAAACATACTTTTAATTACATATATAGGTCCGAAACACTAGTTTTCAACAGAAGATCTTCTTAAAAAAATATATATATTGCAATTGATGTTCTGGGGCGGTTTTAGGAGGGTGGGGAGGTTGTCAGGGGCCCTGTCTTCCTTGCTGCATATTTAGTTATTGTATTAAGTATGTGGGACCCGGCTCCCAACTTTTTAAAAATCCTGGATCTGCATCGGATGATGACTTTGAGAATACTTTCTAGAGATCTATAAATAGCATACGGGTTATTCCAACATTCATGAGTTATTGAACTTCAGCATGCCATACTAAAAGAGAAAAAATGAGGGATCGAAACGAGAAGACAACGAAGTCAGGTAGACTTGTATGGCTAAATCATACTTTGTGTATGCTGCATTGTAATTTATTAAACGTGATATTCGGGTTTTAGTCGTTATATATCAGGTTATATCATGTTAATGTAAGGTACATAATATGCCATGTGCACTAGGGGCGAACCCAGGATAAAGGGGATACCAACAATATGTCCCCTTCAAAAGCATTGATCGTAATAAGGGGGATTCAAACCCCTGACCCTCCCCTCTGGATCCGCCACTGTTCACAATGTTAATTGTTACGCTGAAAGGAGCCTGGTACAGGTAACCTCTAAAAATAGTGCTGTTCTGCGCATTAATATTGTGGTTCTAAAAATAGAATAAATTAAAAGTATTGTAAATTCAGAAATTATTATGTGCTGCTGCATTTATTAGGGATTGCAATTTTGTCATTTTAGACCGAAATGCGATTATTTTTTATGATACTGAGAAAAACTCGCTTCATTCATAAAAATAAATCCAAAATGCGATTTCAATTTAACCTTGTCGCATTTTCGCAATGATAATACATCGCAGTAATTTCCGAAAACACAGAACATGATTATACTCTCTATTTAGCTTCTTGTAACACGTGTAAATGAAAGATTTGAAGGATTTGTAAGTTCAGTTACGACACAAACAACTGATAATTAACGTGCTTTACATTAACTTTAGTCAGATAGTTAAACTTAGGGAATAGTCATTATTTACCAGCTGGGGTGGGGGGGGGGGGGGGATTTTTTAGTGAAATGAACAAAATAAAAATGTACCCCCCAGTCATTTTATGAATTTTAAAATGACCCCCCTAAATGTAGGTAATAAAATATTTTGACCCCCCCCCCCCCCCCCCCCAGAATGCAAAATCTTTTCAACTGTCTCTGCTGAAAAGTGGAAATGATTTCACCTTTTTCGGGAATGGATGTAAATATTTGAAATATAATTCTTTCCACTGGTACATCTGGTGTCCGCAAAGAAATGTATGTTACTTTATCAAAAGGGTGCATGAAATACAGCAAATAGTCCCTTAGTATCAACATCCAATATTTTGTCCCGAAAAACATTTATATCTGGTTGATGTTCAAAGAAAGATGAATAAATCTCAAAAGCTTCTTGGAATTCTAGAAGTGTGAGGCCCTCCAGATGATCTAAAACTGCAAGTAATCCCAGAAGAGAACGAAAATCAAACTTGGAGTTTTGTGCTTCATACAGGTATTCATTTAATTTATAGATATAAGAAGATGTGGTATGAGTGTCAATGAGACAACTCTCCATCCAAGTCAAAATTTATAAAAGTAAACCATTATAGGTCAAAGTACGGTCTTCAACACGAAGCCTTGGCTCACACCGAACAGCAAGCTATAAAGGGCCCCAAAAATTACTAGTGTACATTTTTGTAAAACCATTCAAACGGGAAAACCAACAGTCTAATCTATATAAAAAACGAGAAACGAGAAACACTTATGAACCACATCAACAAACGGCATCTACTGAACATCAGATTATGTCTATTTTCAAAAATTGTAGAGCATGTTTGAAGAGAAATCCGAATATTATTTTCACTATATTTTGTTTGAAGTTTTTTTTTATAGATCTTTTTTCTCTATAAATTTTATGTTGAAATATTTTAGCATTTTCCTTCTTTTCTCTATCCATCTTTAATTAAAATAAGACTGTGTTGATAAACAAATTGTTAAAAATGAATATTATCTCCCAGGATTATCTTTGATTCCGGAAAGGCCACTTACTAGAACATAACATTTTGTAGTAGTTCAAAATATTGTTTGAAAAATTTGACCCCCCATTTTATATTGGAACATTTTTTTGACCCCCCCCCCCCCCCCCCCCCCAATATGATCATCAAAAATATTTTGACCCCCCAAAAAAATTACCCAACCCCCCCCCGCTTGTAAATAATGACTGTTCCCTTAGCTCTTCATAGACAATATATCTATTATATAGTTGCTTCACATATTAGGTTTGTGTTGGTAACCTATATTTATGTAAGTGAATCTAACTTGAAATGCCTCATTTTTAGCTCACCGGGGCCCGATGGGGCCCGATGTGAGCTTATGCCATCTCTTGTCGTCCGTCGTCTGTCGTCGTCGGCGTCGCCTGTCGTCTTTGGCGTCGTCTGTCGTCGTCTGTCGTCGTAAACTATTTCAAAATCTCATCTGAAACTACTGGGCCAAATACCTTCAAACTTTAACTAAATGTTCCTAAGGGTATCTAATTGTATCCGAAGTTTTGATCCATCGACAAACATGGCCGCCATGGCTAAAAATAGAACATAGGGGTCAAATGCAGTGTTTGGCTTATATATCAGAATCTAAAGCCTTTAGAGCAAATCTGACATCGGGTAAAAAATGTTCAAAAGGTCAAGAACTATCAGCTCTGAAATTGTCAGACAAACCGAACAACCCATTGTTGGGTTGCTGCCACTAAATTGGTTATTTAAAGGAAATTTTGCAGTTTTTGGTTATTATCTTGAATATTATTGAAGATAAAGATAAACTGTTAATAGCAAAAATGTTCAGCAAAGTAAGATTTACAAAAAAGTTTAATATGACCAAAATTGTCAAATGACCCCTTAAGGAGTTATTGCCCTTTAAGGACAATTTTATACATGTTGTTTATGTTTTTTAACGGTAAAAATCTTCTCAAATGAATCTGGTATAAATTTTGTATTTTATTTCCTTGTACGTCAGGAAACATAGACACTATGGCTAAAATAGAACATATGGGTAAAATGCATTTATTTGCTTTCGAAGAAAATATGACAGATCCAATGATCATTTAAATGGCATTTTAAGCGACTCATTAATATATATCATGTAGATTGAAAAGCAAACATAATCAATGATGAAAGATTTAAGCAAAACAATAACAGGTGAGAGATTCAGGTTCTTGAAAGCCTCTTGTTTAATAAACCATTTACTCTTAAATGCATAAACCTAACTTTCATTTATTGTTGTATGATAGACCAAAAAGAATAAAACCAGATACAAAAACATGTTTAAGAAATGAATATTTCACCAATGCTTTCTATACTTTCCTACATGTGGATGTAGTTGATAATTTTAAGATAGCTCAGAGGCAGATTTAGGATGGAGTTCATTTAAATCAAAAAACTTTTACAAGTTTATCCAAACGTTTGCATACCAACCAGGTCCCCCCATATGTGAGAATCCTGGACTAGCTCCTTACCTTGAGTTAAGATTGATTTTTGTTTTATTAATTTTTGTAGGATTATGTTGACTGATATCAAACAAAGGAGTACAGGTAATTACCTTAAAACAGATTAATGACTATATGTTTCAGATCACGGTCAAATTAAGGTTAAACAGTTGTATGTTTCTTATATCAGATAGCGTATTTTCTTTTCACTCGTCACAAGGGCACTGAACTGTGAAGACTATGGCTACCTGTGGTCACCTTTCAATATAATGACTTCGAATACCCATGGTAACAGTAGGTATTGACTTCTATTTGTTACTCCTGACCATTAACCTACAAAAAATTTTTTTTTGTTATGTCTGGTCTGGTCATATATTGACTCTTGTTTAAACTCGGATCAATTAAAATAAGTGTTGACATGTTACAACTTGTCACCTTTCAGGATACCTCTTTTGGATATCCCTGACAACCTTTCAACTATCGCCCCCAGTTTTTGGTGGGGTTCGTGTTGCTTAGTCTTTAGTTTTCTATGTTGTGTCATCTGTACTATTATTTGTCTGTTTGTCTTTTTATTTTTGGCCATGGCGTTGTCAGTTTGTTTTCGATCTATGAGTTTGACTGTCCCTCTGGTATCTTTCGTCCCTCTTTCACATATGATAAAATTGTTACAGTACTGATTTTGAATTTGGTTATCTGTGGTCAACATATACTGATATTGAAATTGGTATCTTTTCATATCGTAACAGATATTGAAATTGGTTACACGTGTACCTCTAGTCACCATACACAACGATTGTACTCGATAACCTCTGCTTACTAAACAACGACATTGCATTTTGTTACTGCTGGTCACCTTGTACATTCTTTTTAGCCTGTCTCCAGTCAGAAGCATGCAGTTAATTGCAACTGGTTCTTGTTGTTTTATGTTTGTCATACTTGTTTTTCCTGAATTGTATTGTTATATATCAGGCCGTTAGTCTTCTAAACTGAATTGTTTCATATTTTGATATCGGGGCCTTTTATAGTCGACCATCCGGTATCAGTTTTTCTCTTTGTTGAAGGCCGTATGGATGCCTATAATTTTAACTTTGGTGGATAGTTGTCTCTTGGCAATCATACCACATCTCCTAATTGTATATTTATATGTATATTTAGTTTAATTTTTCTGGTTGTATTGAATTAAAAGGACATTTCCCAAATATCTGCATTCATGAGCAACTGTTTTTAATGTTTTTTTTTTATTCTTTTGTAGAATTGGAAAGACCATCAATGAGGCAAAAGAGAGGAGTAAAGGTTTTGTATACATCATTGGTTCAGAACGAACAGATACTATTGTTACATGTATATAGAATTCCATATATTTATTGCAATTAACACGATGAATGATATTTTCAATGATCATCGTAAACAAAAGCAGAGTTGAGCATACACATAATTTGATATGGCATTAAGTGTCAAAACATTTTACAATATTATACCAGAATTATCCTTATAAGATAGTTTCTGCTAGGTGATTTTAATTTATAATTAGGTTATAATTATAAATAAAATCATCATAGATACCAGAACTGCAATTTTATATTTATCCAGACGCGCGTTTCGTCTACAAAAGACTCATCAGTGACGCTCAAATAAAGAAATGTTCAAGGCCAAATAAAGTACGAAGTTGAAGAGCAATGAGGACAAAAAATTCCTAAAAGTTTTGTATTATATCTTTTATATTGCAGAAGGCTGAAGAAAATGAAGCTGGTATGTATTCATTTGATTTGTTTTGAGATATATAATAATGACGACAATATGGTTATATATATGCTTATTCCTGCTGTATTTCTTTTTGTAATATCAACATTTAGTGACCGATTTTCATTAAATGGCTACTTTTGCTTGATTAATAACTACTTTCATTTTTCTTTATGGTTGTATTGAAATGCTAGGACTTGTCTACTCTTCCAATAGTAACACGAAACTGTTTAATGCTTTTATTTTTATTCATTTTAAGGTAATCAAGGACAGTCTCAGAAGGGAAATACAGGAGAACAGGTGTGATATAAATCATAGGTTTAGCAAGAATGCTAATATATATTATTAGAACATTGCATTCACCACTTAACTGAAAGATTATTATATTCAAGGATCGTCATAGTAAACAAATAAAAACTGACAGCAAAATCGAAATTGAGCTGGCAAACAGAGTATTTTACATTCAACAAAACAATGTTTTTCTGGTATATTAAATGTACTTAGTAACTTTATATTCATACTCATCAGATATTTTATGAAAAACGAACTAATTTCATAAAATTCCATATTATTGTTTATCTTTTATTTTACAGAAAGCTGAAGAAAAGAATGAAAAAGGTGGTATGTATCCATTTGTTTTGTTGTTTATGATATACATAAAGGATTATAACAGAATAATTATGTGATACCATAGCTTATACCTTCTTTGTGTTTTTGATATTTGGTGACAGATGTTTAGAAACTTGCTACTTTGGAATGATAAAACAAACATGATGTTACATTTCTTCTGGTTGCATTGAATTAAAATGACTTTTAACAAATATCATAATTAACAAGACACTGTTATATGTTTTTTTTTAATTCTTATGTAGGAAACGAAATACCTTCAAAGAGACAAAAGAGAGGAGCAAAGGTATGATATACTTCATTGGTTCATCAAAAATAGAGAATATTGTAATATAGAATTCATTATATTTATTACAATTAATACGATGAATGATATTTTCCATGATCATCGCAATCAAAAGCAGGTCTGAGCATACACATAATTTGAAGTGGCATTAAGTGTCAAAACATGTTACAATGAATAATGTCTGAATTTTATAACAGAATAATCCTTATAAAATAGTTTATACTAGATGATTTGATTACATCATTAGGTCATAATTATTTTATCTTTTATATTGAAGAAAGCTGACGAAAAAGAAAATGAAGCTGGTATGTATTCATTTAATTTGTTTTAGATATATAAAAATGACGACAATATTGTTATGCTTATGCCTGCAGTATTTCTTTTTGTAATACCAATATTTAGGAACCGATTTTCATTAAATGGCTACTTTTGCTTGATTAATAACTACTTTTATTTTTCTTTATGGTTGTATTGAATTGCTAGGACTTGTTAATTCTTCCAATAGTAACACGAAACTGTTTAATGCGTTTATAACTATTCATTTTCAGATAATCATACAGCCACAGACAGAAAATATAGGAGAGTAGGTTTGATATACATCAGCGGTTCAGCTAGAATAGAAAACATTGTATTCCAATTTATAAAATGTTATCAACTGTATCATATTTTACATGATCATCATAATCAAAAGCAGATATGATATATCTGCCTTTGATTATAATTGATCATGCAATCACCATATGACAATAAAACAATTTGAAATGCATATGGCAACCAGTGTCAAAGTTTTTTATAATGAATAATGTCTGATTATTTACCAAAATATTTTTATCTGTTCATATATATCTTTAGACGATTGTTTCTGATAGATGATTTGATTTCATAACTAGATTATAATGTTTTATCTTTTATTTTGCAGAGAGCTGAAGAAAAGTGTGATGAATCTGGTATGTATTCATTTGATTTGTTGTTGAAATATGTAATGATGGCGACAGAATGTGTTTGCCTCTGCTGCTGGTATTTTTTTTTTTATATGTATTACCAATATTTGGTGATCGATTTGTATTTAATTTGAACTCCTGTTTTTGTGAAAGATTTTTATATAATGGCAATTATGACTTGATTGAAACCATTCAATTTTCTGATTGATTTGAATTTATAACACTTGAACCAACTATCAGCTTTTACAAGCAACTGTTTCACGTTTTGTTTTTATTCCATTGTAGAAAGTCAAAGTCAGTCAGAGAGTCAAAAGAGAGAACAGGTTTGATATGCATCATGACTTTAGAATGGATATAGATTACTATAATATTGTATTCAATACATTTATAACACTTAACAGAATAAACATTGTTTTCCATGATCATCATAGCCAAAACCAAATCTGAAAAAGAATTTGAAGTTGTACCATTGTGTACTTGCATCAAGAGCATGTTACAATAAAAAATGTGTTACTAGTTTATAGAAATATTTTTTGATCACTTCATTTTTATGCTCGTAAGATTTTTTCTGATAGGTAAATTGATTTCATAATTAGGTCATAATATTTTTTTATCTTCTTTTGCAGAAGACTACAGAAAATGAAGATGAAGGTGGTAGGTATTTACTTGATATGTTTTTTGTAAATATAGTTGATAGTTAAAATATTGTTTGTGCAGCTGCAGTTGATGTGGAGATAACATTAAATGAGATTAGTTGTAGAACCTCTAGAAGAGGCCAAGATGAAACGGATATGTTATGGGTCTTGTGTGTAGCTTAGGTAACCAATACATAGTAGTAACCTTTAAATTCAAACAGGCCTTAAAATGACTGGTGGTAATGATAAGATTGTTAACTATGTGATACCCTGTGGAACCCTTCGGCTAACACAAATTTAACTTTCGTTAAATCTGGTCACAAAACACCTGCAGAAATAGTTTTGGGTACCTCTGATAACATTACCAAGACATTAAGTTTGTAAACCTTTGATCAACTTACACATGCAGATATATGTGACCTTAGACAAATATTTACCTTTCACAGGTATTGAAATATTTACACTTTGGTCACATTCAGCAGATAGTTACTTTGGTTATTTCTGGTCACATACTCGTGCTATGTACATATAAGTTTTGGTTACCTATGGTCATCTTTCGCAGATATTGCAAATGTAGCCTTTGGACATCATACATAGACATTAAATTTGGTAATTGCTCTTGACCTAAGACAAATAATTACTTTGGTTACCTATGGTCACCTTACACATATATTGAATTTGGTTACCTCTGACCACTTTATTGACTTTGGTTAAACCTGGTCATTCTTCACAAATCTAGACATTTGTTAACTCTGGTCACTTTACAAATGTATTGATCATGGTTACCTATGGTGACCTTACATCCTAAGCATAAATCTAATTACTTAGGTAGTAGGTTATATCCTTGTTACCTTTCACAGATATTTAAAGTAGTAACCTTTGGTCACCTTACACAGATATTAAATTTGGCTACCTCTGGTCACCTTATTAACCTCGGTTTATTCTGAACAAATATACCATCAAATAATGACTTCTGTTAACTCTCGTCACTCTTCTCCGTCACCAATTGTCATCATACACAGATATTGAATTTTGTTTTTGACCTAAGACACATATTTACTTTGGTTACTTCTGGTCACCTTACACTGGTATTGCAATTTGTAACCTCTGTTCTATTTCACCAGATATTCATTGTGGTTTATTGTGGTTTTCTGTGGTCAAATACCTACGCCATGCAATTATTGACTCTTGTTTACATCTGGTCACCTTACAATGGCATTGCCTTTGGTTTCGTGTGGTTATCTCATATAGATATTGAATTCCACAAGTGTACTCTGTCATCATACACAGAAATTGTGTCAAGTCAAACAAATTGTAATATTCAAATATTGACTTCTGTAAACTCTAGTTCTTCTTTTCGTTACCAATTATCATCATAAATAGATGTTGAATTTTGTAATTGCTCTTGACCTAAGACAAATATTTACTTTTGTAATCATTGGAAACCTAACACGGATATTGAATTTTATATCTATATATTAAATCGGGAGGCAGGAACAAGCCAATATTTGTTTTTGCATTACGTTATGTGCTTTCAGGAAACATATAACTGTATTTTCTGTGTCAAAGTTTGTTATAGTCATTGCATTCATTGTTATTCTTTTTGCGCTAGTCATCTTGGTGACACATCATAACATTTCAGGAGCACCAGAGATAATTGTTGATTTGATAACGACGTGCGCTCTATTTCCAAATCAATGTTTGTAATTTTAAGCTATTTTCATTCGTCACTTTAGCCTTTTCTAATGCACAGACCTTGCGCATGTAATGTGTGTAGGATTGAGAATTATAAATAAAGATATTGACAAGCTGAATGAAGCAAACACTTTCTTTTATAATTGCAGATTCGAAGTTATGTTATCAATACTGGGAGGAAGAAATGTTGCAGCTTGCAAAAGAAGCTGAACAAAAGCTTTCGCCAGCCGAAAGAGATGGTAAATCACTGAATTATCTCATTCAAGCTGTGGTATTTCCGAATATATAATTAATATTTTGTTATACATCCCTGTTTCAAATAGAATAATATAATAACTGGGTTGCAACTGAAATGCCTCCGTTGGAAAACTCTACCTTGAAAATACACGCTAATCCTTTCGTGTTAAGGTTTCACACCAAGCAGTGCTAGTTTTCAATATCTAGGACAGTGATAAGAGAATAACCATTTGATAATAGGAGTGGGCAGGATGGATTTTGAAATGAATAGTATGGGACGGTTACAACTCAAAATTACTTGCCAAGACAAGATGGAAATAAATATTCTGACCAACAAAATGTTAGAATAAGTTCTTAACAATTGAAAATAGATAAACCGTACTTGTAACAGACAAAGAATGATGAAATGATGAATTGTCTATCCACATGAACTCCTGCCACCACCTTCTGAAAATCCAAAATAATAATGTCGGCTTAAAGAAAGCTCAAAGAGATTTTGTTATTGTTTTGTGATATGCCTACCTTAAATAAAGCTTTGGATTGATTTGATTGATTGAAATGGTCGTCAGCTAAGCTCACCAGAAAGAATTGTAGAGCTACACAGTCAAGTGTACAGATACATTAAAGTATAAATTTTAATTCACATAACCAAGTATGATTTATATTTTGATATAAAAATAATGCAATGCATATAATGTAAACAATAATTTTCAAATTGTAGCTTCCTGCAATGATTGGCCAGTTATGGTTCCTGGTAGACTAAGCCTAACAGGAAAAAAGAAGTTCTATGACGTTAGTAGGGAGGAAGTAAAAAGGCGAGTTGGATCTCCTGAAAACCTTTCATCGTCTATGGTCTGTCAGTTGTTAAAGGTAACGACA